GCACCAGCTATCATTGGCCTTTATGGCCCTCCCATTCCGTGGGATCTGAACCAGAACTTGTGGCTTCGGCCGCTTCCGCTCGGTCCTGTTTCTGGTCTTCTGGGCTCTGTCTTGACATCGGATACAGGCGGTTGAGGGCTGAGAGAGTGCGGTAGATGCAACGCAAGTCTACTATCACTCGAAATTAATCGAAGCATTAGTCACCCTCTCTGAACATCATGCTGCGGTGCAGGCGATGGACACCATCGGAATCGACATTTGAACTCTCCTATCGTATTTACTCTTCCTGGAATTTTGTCCAGGACCATCTGTATTACCGGATGTGTTCCTATTCCTGTGTCAACACATTTTGAGATCAAACATAAGAACTATCTTTCCTTCTACCTCGGCGTAAGAATGGCATACTTCTTGCCTCACTTCTGCATGGTAATGCTTAGATATGGGAAAGGTTACTCGTCGTACTGCAGGCGGTCTTGCACTAAATTGCAGGGAAAGTTAGTTACCCCATAGAATTTAACGCAAGACCACGTGCAGGCAATATGTTTACCGCTTAGTTGATAATTTTTAGATAGGATACGGGTACGTGTACCACATTCTGACCTCTTTTCCTACACCATGTTTTAAGGCATTAAAAAACAGCATGTGGCGCTAGTGAATTTGTTTTCCTTTTTAAATCCTTGAGAACACCATGTTTCCTTTTGCACAAACCCCCTACAACCACTATTCCCATATCACAGTTGACCCTGGGGTATTGTTCAATTAGACCTTACAGTATTTGCATTGGGAACAAAATTTAAGGAACCGCCTAAAAAATCTTCACTGCATGTCATTCTGTGAATTAATCCGGGATTTCGTCTGGTAATTACTTCTATTTCAAAGTAACCCTACGATGTCGGTCCATTTGGTTCAATTTCGAGGGATGTGCACAATTGTTGTGCTGCCCTGTAGCACGCTGTGCTGGGTTGGCAAAAACTTTGTCTCTAACGCAATTTTCCCTTCTTGATGGGTGATCAATAAGTATTCATGATCAGCTTAAAAATGTAACCTGTCAAAGGCTAAGGTGTGTCCCCTCCCACTCAGTAGCTTCACCATTCGTCCTCGAACTCACCTTTTTCTGTGAAAAATTTAAGGTTGCTTGCATATTTCGACTGCTTTACGTGCACCGAGTGTTTATCATAACCCCCCTTTTTAGCTTTTTATTCCCCAGCCGACTGTAAACTGGTGCACGTTATTACTGCTGCATTTGTCCTCAAAGGGTAGCCGTATACAAGCAGAAGGATGTTAGGAGCGTGACGTCTCTCCCGTCGCATTGCAGCTTCTCTTTTAAGCACACAAATGGCTCTCAGTAATTTTAGCGGTAAATCGCATGTTACGTTACTTGAGCATAATAGTGTGGCAATTTATGGCCACTCCGCCTGCTTTTTTTATAACCTCTTTCAGTTCTTTCATCGACCTGTTCCCATGTTAAGGGTTTTAGGCAACTTTAGAGGATGGTTTTTAGTGGACAGCGTAGGAATATGATGAGAAAGGTGAATTTGCAAATCGCAGCATCCTGATAATAGCCTTTACTGGGACTTTCTAGATTTATTGAGAGTAAATGTTACGATATACCGGTTGATCGACTGTTGGTTGCTGCTCACGCCTCGCCTCTATTCTCACTCAGAACTTCGGAATAGCCTCCTCTGCTTGGGAGCGCAGAATTAAATGGCAGTTTTAGCGTGCGTTTTTCCACCTTTTAATTCTACCTGTTTACCGTCTTTTGCAGAACAATGCATCATTCAGACAGTCTTCATTTTCACGAATTCCAGAGAGTCTGTTTTCTCTCACATCATCGTAGGGAAATTCTTTATCCGTTTCCCCTTCATAATCTTTATCTGGTCAACTGCACGTCCTATATTGCTTAGTAATACTCTCAACAATGTACTAAATTATACCTCCTCACCGTCTATCTCTTCAGTTTCTGTGCGTTGCGTAGCTTATTTTCGTCCCTAAAACAACGTTCACATCTTCAGCTTGTTCGGTAATCCCTTTTGTATGCGCACCTGAACAATAAAATACATAGTAGGTACCGATATGGGACTTTTCGTAGGTGTCTGTCTTTAGGGTGTGGTAAGGTGATTTTGGCCTTACACAATATACCAGGGCAAATCTAATTTGTGATGGTATGAAAACTTCAAAAAGTACTCAGCCAATTTATTAGTATTTTGGAATTGACTCCGAATTTTTTCTCTTTCTAGCCCCCTCTAATATGCCCAATGACGTGACTTCGCCACAGGAACCCAACTGGGACGACGAGGATACGATTATTAATGACCTCACTTGTTTGGGCATTGTGGGCATCGAGGATCCAGTGCGACCCGAAGTGCCCCCGGCCATTCGCCAATGCCAGGAGGCAGGCATCACGGTGCGCATGGTCACCGGCGACAATGTTAACACGGCACGCTCAATAGCTACTAAATGTGGCATTCTGCGACCTGGGGAAAACTTCCTCGTCATGGAGGGTCAGGAGTTTAATCGACGCATCAGGGACAAAACTAC